GAAATTCCCGAGGGTAGTGGCACAAGATTCGAGCTTAATGAATAATGATCCCACCCCTCTATATGTTTTCACTTAAATATCATACGTTTGTCCACGAGATGGTGCGAAACCATGAAATAAGCAACCTACACACCACGCACTGCGCTCTTACCTTAGACGAAGGGAATTTGGGTTTCTTTGGATCTCATTATCGTATGACTTTTATTAAAATTTATGGGCATTTTTTTACGACTTTTTTCTCCACCTCAATATTTTACTATCTTCATTTCTTTTTCTCCGTGTTTTCCATTGTACTTATAATATTATGATTTTATAGGTTTTATTGGATGAACTGAAAGTTCGGGAATTGAAAAACAGGAAGTTTGTTTTCGAAGAATCAACCAAACAGCCGCTCATCCAATCACTTAAACTAAAAATAGTTGGTGGAAGTATAATATACGCATAATTTATGTATTATATGTGTATAATTATGTATATTATTGTATAATTTTTGTATATTACTAGAAAAAGTAAATAATAAATATGGCCGACTATTTGTGTAAAGATCCCTTTGTTTTTTGGCCTATTTTGTTTTTTGTGTGTGCAATAAATGTGCTTTCCATCTCTTTCCCTATAAATATTCTTTCCTTCTCTTTGCCCAAACTTTACTCTTAATCTCTGCTCTAATCTTCAAGTTTTTTTACATCCTTTAAGCTTTTCTGTTCTGCATAATTTCTAGGTTTCGTTATCAACCTTCCCTCAAAACATCAGGCCTTATTATCTTCTTATTTCTTTAAACTTATACAAAATGGAAAAAAATCAAAAACCATTCCTCAAAAAGAAAAAACTTCTTCATCGCGACCGGCCGGTGGTAGAACACCGGTGGCACCGCGCCTTGAGGAGTGTGTTCCCAGGGGATGTGTCCTTACTTCCGACTTCAATGTCGATAAAACTTCATCGGTCCCTGGTCGATGTGAGACAATGTTGAGATATATATGCTCGATAACCTAGAACGACCTTAAACAGGTAAAAGAAGACTGCCATTAGGAAGACAAAGAGGTGGTGATCCCGGCCCCGAAGAAGACATCACTACCCATGTAGAATGGTTTCTAAGTGTTCACACTTACCCTTTCACGCTGGGCCCTGTCGATCCCATCATCATCAATTTTTGCCGCCAATACAAAATAACCTTAGGTTAGATCTGTCCCTCTTTTTGGCAGATTGTCATTCTACTCTAATTCTTCGCGAGCAAAGTCCATGTATTTCACCCTCGACCATCTCATTAGGTTGTACAGTCTCCGTCTCTATTGAGGTGGGTTAATAAGGCCTCAGCATCGAGCTACCAAGGTGTTGTTCTCGAGCATAAATGAGGACAAGGATCGAGGATGGATGGGCTGGTTCATTCAAGTGAAGGCTTTCGACCTAATCCCGGCTAAGAAGATTCCATTACCCAAGAAATGGAATATGAAGCGTAAGTGTAATCCCACTTATAGCTTCTATTTATTGTTTTGTTTCCTTTTCTTTTTCTCATCGTCATCCCTTTCTATGATGTAGCGGTCTCTTGGATGCCCGTGCAATTCCTAACCTGAAGAACTAGGTTCAGAACCTAGCCTCAACCTCTTCGTATGCCGAGCGCTCATGGCGTGATTTGGCAAGGGGTCGATGGGAGGCCAAAAATCATGGCAAACCCCTTTTCACATATTTGATGATCTTTGCTGAAATGTTTCTGTTCATACTCACTTGGTTCCTTTCATACAGGCTTCGGAGAAAATGCCGTCATGAGGCCCCCATCCGGGGAGGAAGAGTTATCGCCCTCAGCTCTAAAACCGGCGAAGGATAAGAAGAGAAAAAAGGGCTCGACCTCCGAGGACCAGAAGCCTAGGAAAAATGAGGCTCGTAAGCCGAAGAATGACATTGTCCCTCTGCCAGTTGATGTAGCTCAGTGATTAAGAGAGGAAGAAGATAAAGATGATGGCTCCGAGCTGGTTGCTCGAGCGAAGAAAAACATCGAGGCTCCAAAGGCCGTTGAGTCGGTGAGGGTTGATAACATTCAGCCTCGAACCGAAGAGATCTTGAAAGAGGTCCCGAGAAAAGTCCTCGAGTCGTTGGAGGCTGAAGAAGCCTCCCGCCAAAATGAGAAATCGGTGGGTATGCCTAAAGGGGCTGGCTTGGAGGCCCTTCGAAATGAAGAGAGCGCCCCAAGTGACTTGCTTGGGGCAATAGAAATTGGCGATTCTCCGACCCTCCCTACAATTTCTGAGGGGACAATTCATGAAGCCTAGGCCATGGGGACACCCGATGTAGAAGGAGCCCTCGGAGGAGAGGACCTTTTTCGTGGTTGTTTTATAGGAGTTGAAGATGCTACCGACCTGAGTGAGGCATCGAGTATCTTTGATGAGGCTCAACGACTCCTGAGTCAGGTAAGTCTCAACTCCCCTCCTCGATATCTCACTCGTATTTATTTCTTCTTGTCTAATTTTCTTTCTTCTTTCTGTATATGCCTTGATAATCCATTAGGATGTGTTTTCTAAATCTTGGGCAGAGCTGAGGCGATGCGAGGCCGGTCTTCGAAGGCTCACGGAGGAGAGAAATGCCCTCAAACTTCCTAGCGGGTAAAAGGAAGAGGAGATCAAGGACCTCTGAGCCGAACTGGCCACGACTCATAAAGGGAAGAACAACCTGATTGAGAAGGTAATGAAAATCTTAGAAGATCAATGTATCAGTTTGGGGATGATGACTAACACTTAGATTTTACAGGTTCAGTAGAAGGCTGAACAGATCGAACAACTCCATGAAGAGGTTAACATGATGAGGGCAGAGACCTTGGGGGGAAACAAAATATGGACCACCTTGCCTCGGAGAAAGATGCTGCTCGAGCCCAGCTGTTATCGGTCTAAAGTGAGCTTTAAGGCATGAAGGAGGAAAGCTCAGTCCGGGCCAAGAAAATAGAGGAGTTCGAGGCTCGGTTGGCCGCCGAACTTGCAACGGCTAAATCTGAGGCAGAAAAGGTAAAGGCTGAAGTGGAGGAGATCATGGCCATCTACTAATCTGACGTTGAATCTGCTCAAGCCCAAGAAAAAGAATTTACCAAGGTTGCTCAAAATCAGGCTCTTTAGGTCACCGAGCATGTCAAGTGCCAGTCTCGAAGAGAGACTCTTGGGGAGATACATGCTCGTGGCTTTAACCTTGTTGTTGAGATCGAGAATGCGAAAGAGTTTGAGGCTGAAGCCAAAGTGTTGCTCTATTCTGATGATGATAATTCCAGGAGCGTGAGTTGATCCGGGAGCGTAGGAGATCCCGATGGCGAAAATTTAGTTCTCGAGGAAAGTTAGGCATTTAGGATTTTTCTTTTTTGAATTTTGTGCGGGATCCTGATCGGTCCTTGTAAATGTTTTAATATATATAAGAGATCTCTTTGCTTTTTGACTTGTCTTTATTTCAATTTCTACTTTGTGAAAATTCTATTTCGTTCATGCCTTGTTTATAAGTACAAGGTTTAGGTAATTTGTTCGAAGTTAGACTAAAGTAGGCTTTGTAATCGAGTGAGTACTTTGTTTGAACTCGAAGAGTACAAGGCTTAGGCAATTTGGTCAAAGTCGGACTAATGTAGTCTTTGTAATTGAGTGAGTACTTTGTTTGCACTCGAAGAAGGACGACCCTTAGGTTTTAGTTAAGTGAGGTTGACTTCTCCAACTCAAAAATAAAATGGCCCTTAGGCTCTTGAATTAGGCTGATATGGCCTTAAAAAGAATGGCTTTTCACCCTTTTCGGCTTAGAAAGTTAATCATGTAAAAATTTGTTATGCCTTAGCATGAGATAAATTTGTACCCATTAGGGTTTTCGAGGGTTAGTGTTATCGAAACCCTTTGCTTCGTTGCGCCTTAGCGTGAAATAAGTTTGTTCGATAGTTCAAACAATTCGGTACCCCTTAGGATTTTCAAGGGTTGATGCGATTGAAACCCTTTATATTTTTGCTGAGGTAGCCTTTTAAAACGGTTTCATGGAAATATTTGAAGGCCTATTTTAGTACGGAATTCAAACGTCTCTAAACTGTGGTGGTTTGGCCGTAGCTTTTAACTTGGGATTTGCCACTTGGGATTATTTCTCGATTACATTTCGAACTTGATCGAAGTGTCAGTCCCCGAGTGGGGTGGCCGTGACCTATAAAAAACGATAATTTCCTTTTTAAGGTCTTATGATCTCGAGATTTTAGTAGTTCGATTTGATTGATTTTTTGGACGACAGTCCCTGAGTACGGGATAAGTTATTTGAACTTCAGTTGTGATCGGCCCTTAATCCTGATTCCACAATAGATCAAAAGTATGAAATTGTAAAGTAAAAAATTTCATTAAGGCAAAAAATATTGACAAGGAAAAATGCTTCTTTCAATAGATTATACACGCGTACATGTTTGCCTTTAGGGCTCAAGTGATCTAAACGGGCATGGTTCGTTTGACCGTTTGGCCCTAATAAGGTTTTACCTATCGAGACTTTGTTGACACAAAATACCTTCCTTCTAACAAAGTTAACATCCGAGGGTGATTCCCCCTAGTATTCGAGGTTGATTGTAGAAGACTCAGATACTATTGAGTTGCTCTAAGTTAGCACGAACAATGGTCGCCTCATTAAAAACCTCGCCAGAAAAACTCATTTGGGATAAAAACCGGTCTAAGGAAAAAAGAATGAAACACGTGAATTCATACCTAAGGTCTTTGTGATGAAGGATCATTCGATATCTTAGGTTGAACATCTACAATTTGTTAGCATAAAATGTAAATGAAAATGGAGAAGGTCATACCTTAGTAGTAATATCGTTTGAGAAGTGATATGTTCCAATTGTTTGGTAATTTCTCGCCATCCATCGTGCCAAGTTTGTAGGATCTTTTCCGACGATATCAAGGACCTAATACGACCCTTCCAGTTTGAGCCAAGTTTCCCTTTGTTCAGATCCCGAGTATTAATGGTGACCTTTCTCAGAATTAAGTCCTCGATTTCAAGTGTCAAAGATTGGCTCTTTGTTATTAATACCTCCCGAACCACTGTTTCTCTGCGGCCATTCGAATGCGGGTGGCTTCCCGCCTTTTATCTAGCAATTCAACACTCATATTCATAGCCTCGTGGTTTGCCTCTTCCATTGCATACCGAAACATAAAGCTAGGTTCCCCGACTTTAACCGGGATCAGAGCTTCGACACTGTAGACTAAAGAGAACGGTGTTTCCCCTGTACTAGATTTCGACGTTGTTCGATACGCCCAAAGGACCTCGAGCAATACTTCTCGCCATTTCCCTTTGTCTTCGCTCAATCTTTTCTTCTGATTTTGGAGGACGGTCTTGTTTGTCGATTCGGCTTGTCCGTTCCCACTAGGATGATACGGTATTGACAAGATTCGTTTTATTTTGTGATCTTCAAAAAACTTTGTCATTTTGCTGCCGGCGAATTGCTTTCCATTGTCGCATACGATCTTGGCAGGCATTCTGAATCGGCATATAATGTGATCCCAGATGAAGTCTATGACTTCGTTTTCTCTGAATTTTCTCTGACTTTCTAAGTGCTTCAACCCACTTAGAAAAATAGTTAGTCATAAACAAAATGAATTTAGCTTTACCTGGAGCCGATGGTAGGGGGCCAATGATATCCATCCCTTATTTCATAAATGGTCATGGGGATAGGAATGAGTGGAGTTGCTCTCCTGGTTGGTAGATCATTGGCGGATACCTTTGACATTTGTCGCACTATCGAACAAATTCTTTAGTGTCCTTTTCCATATCGGCCCAAGTATCCTGCTCTGATGACTTTGTGAACGAATGATTCAGCACTGAAATGATTTCTGCAAGTGCTCTTGTGAATTTCTCATAGAATGTAGTTTTTGTCCCCTGGTCCCAAACATTTTGCTAACGGTCCATCGGACGTTCTCCTATACAGTGTTCCATCCTCGGCCAATGTGAACCGTATGGCCTTCGTGCGTAGAGCCCTCAATTCTTTAGGATCCGATGGAAGCTTCCCGTTCTTTAGGTATTCGATGTATTTATTCCTCCAATCCCAGGTTAAACATGTGGTGTTTATTTGGGCATGTCCTTCTTTGATTACTAAAGTTGAAAGTTGTATGACAGTCCCTGCACTAAGTTCATCATCTTTGATCGACGACCCCAAATTTGCAAGGACATTGGCCTCGCTATTTTGTTCTCGAGGTACGTGTTGTAGCGTCCATTCTTTAAATCGATATAGAGACACTTGTAATTTTTCTAAGTACCTCTGCTTTCGATCTTCCTGAACCTCGAATGTTCTGTTGAATTGATTCACCACAGGTTGGGAGTCACACTTGGCCTCAATGACCTCTGCTCCCAAGCTCTTAGCTAGCTTGAGACCTGCAATCATGGACTCATTCTCGGCATCTTTGTTAGTCAATTTTGAATTTTTGATAGTCTATCTAATTTTATTTTCTGTGGGTGGCTTCAAAACGATGCCTAGTCCGGACCCCTTCACGTTCAAAGAGCCGTCTGTGAAGAGGGTCCACATCCCTGATAATGCACCCAATTTTAATAATAGTTCCTTTTCAACCTCGGGTACGAGGGATGGCATGAAGTCGGCCACGAAGTCTGCCAAGATCTGAGACTTGATGGCTGTTCGGGTTTGATATTCGATATCGTACCCGCTAATCCCGACGGCCCATTTGGCCAGTCAGCCCGAGAGTTCGGGCTTGTGGAAAATGTTTCGAAGGGGGTAGGTGGTTACAACACAAATTGGGTGACATTGAAAATATGGTTTTAATTTCCTGGAGGCGCTTATTAAAGCAAGAGCTAATTTCTCTAAGTGTGGGTACCAGGTTTCGGCTTTACCTAGGGTTCAACTAACATAATAAAACAGAAATTGCATACCTTGTTCTTCTCGAACTAAGACTCCACTTACCGCTATCTCCGAGACTACTAAGTACACGTAAAGTTGGTCGTCCACATTTGGGGTGTGAAGCAATGGCGGACTCGACAGGTATTGTTTGAGTTCCTCCAAAGCCTGTTGACCTTCCAGGGTCCATATGAAATTGCTCTTTATCTTAAGCAGTGAGAAGAACCGGTGGATCCTATATGAAGACCTCGAAATAAATCGACCCAGGGTGGCTATGCATCCTGTTAACCTTTATATATACTTGACATTATCACTAACTGTGATGTCTTCGATTGCCTTGATTTTATCGGGGTTGATTTGATCCCCCGATTTGATACCATAAAGCCGAGGAACTTGCCCGAGCTGACCCCGAATGCATATTTCTCCGGGTTAAGATTCATGTTATACTTTCTTATTGTGCCTAAGGTCTCCGGTAAATGTTTCAAATGGTCCACTACTCCCAAGGACTTAACTAGCATATCATCAATATAAACCTCCATTGATTTACCTATTTGTTCTTCGAACATTCAATTTACTAGGCATTGATAAGTAGCACCAACATTTTTTAGTCCAAACGGCATTACATTATAGCAATAGGTGCTGTACTTAGTGATGAACAAAGTCTTTTCCTGATTCTCCGGGTTCATCTATATTTGATTGTACCCGGAATAGGCATCAAGAAAACTAAGGATCTCGTGGTCGGCCGTGGCATCGATTATGCGATCGATATTCAGCAAAGTTTAGGAATCTTTAGGGCATGTCTTGTTCAAATCCTTATAGTCTATGCACATTCTAAGTTTGTTTCCCTTTTTAGGGACTATAACTATGTTTGCTAACCATTCGGGATATTTTACCTCTCGAATGGATCTTACCTCGTCCTTAATGAATACATATTTTACCTCGTCCTTAATGAATACATGTTTTACCTCGGACAGAGGTCTTCTCTTTGTTTCACCAGGCGAAACTTTGGGTCCAAGCTCAGTCGATGCGTAGTGATCTTCGGTTGGATCCCTGTCATGTATATGTGGGACCAAACAAAACAATCCATGTTATTTAAAAAGAATTGAACAAGTTTTTTCCTAAGCTCGGGAGTTAACTCCGTGCCCAGGTATACCTTTCGATCGGGCAGATGCTCAATCAGTATGGCTTGTTCCAGCTCTTCGACCGTTGACTTTGTTACATCGGAATCATCGAGGATTACGAAGGTTCGTGGTATCATATAATCATCATCCTCGAAAGTTTCCTGCTCCTCCAATCAGGTCGAGGCCGGGACTTTGGTTGTTATTTGTCTTCTTATTTTCCCTTTGATTTTGATCTCTTTGTTGATGATAGCATTGATATCGGTATCACCTCATCGATTACAAACATTTCCTTGGCGGCTGGTCGTTCACTGTACATCATTTTGATTCCTTCTGATGTTGGGAATTTAAGACTTGGTGAAGAGTTGAGGGCACTGCTCTCATATTATGAATCCAAGGCCTTCCGAGTAGCGCGTTGTACCTCATGTCACCTTCGATCACATAGAACTTTGTTTACTGGATAGTCCCAGCCACGTTTACTAGTAGAATGATTTCCTTTTTGGTGGTTTTGCTTGCCATGTTGAAGCCATTAAGCACCCAAATTGCGGGCACGATCTAATCCTAGAGGTCGAGTTTCTCTACGACCCCTGAACAAATAATATTTTTCAAGCTACCTCGATCGATCAACACACGTTTAATTTGAATTTTATTCATAAGGATAGATATTACCAGTGCGTCGTTGTGAGGTTGTTCGATCCCTTCTTCGTCCTCATCGTTGAAAGACAAGATTTCTTCTGGTAAGTAGTCCCGAGTTTGTTTTTCCCTCATGATTTTCACTTTGGTACGGTTGAGTATTGGTCCTTAGGGGATATCGACCCCACCAACGATCATATGAATTACGTGCTATGGCTCTTGATAACTTGGGAATATGATGCATTTTACACTCCTCCATGCTCAAGTTTTGATTAGAAATGTGTACAAAATAGTCCCAAAGACTAACTAGTTGTGCTTGATTGCAGATTTGATCAACAAGGTAACAAAGTGTCGAAAACTAGCTCAAAAAGGAGTGAAACATGCACAAGTACCAAGACAAGACAAAGCTCAGTCAAACAGGGCCAATGCGGCCGCACACCATTCTGTGCGGTCCACACAAGTGATGTTCAGAGAGGTTGTTGTTCAGGCCAAAAGGCAATGCGGCCGCAAGGGGTTTTGTTCGATCCGCATTGGGATCATTGCGGCCGCAATCGATTTAGTTCGGTCCACGAAACCAAGGTTCAAGGAGTGGTGTTTTTGAGGTTGAAGCTCAATGTGGTCCGCGGTCCTTTTTGTGCGAACCTCAATGGAAACCATCGCAGCCGCATTCGATTTCATGCGGTCCGCATTTCCCAAGTTCAGAGAGTTGAGTATTCAAGTTCAGAACCTTAGTGCGGTCGCACTCGTTTTTGTGCGGTCCGCTAGCCCCACAGGGGTATTTTTGTCTAGATTTTTCAGCCTAGTATAAAAAGATTTGTTTCCCATTTTTAGGTCATGAGATAGTTTTTTACTGAGCTGCGCTCGTGACTTCGTTCATTTTAGCTATTTCGAGTAGTTTTAGCGTGATTTCAACATTGGATCATCAAGTTTAATTTAGCAATTAATTACTATGAGTTTCTTTTCATCTATTGCTTTGTTTTATTCTCTAATTATGAGTAGCTAGACCCATAAGCTAGGGTTGTGGCTCAACCCTAGTGTGGGTAATTAATGGGTCTTGTGTTTTGATGCTTGATTGTCTATAGGTGTTTGATATTTGGGCTAATTTAGGGTTTTAATTGTGAATTAGTGGTTGCAAACACTAGTTTATGCCTAGTAGACTTTGGTTCTTCTTGAGAAAGAGAGCCTAAGTCCATGAAATTAGTCCAACAAGGAATTGGGGCGTACTCAAGAGATTGATAGCCCCAATTAAAGGGTTAAACCTAGAGATAGTAATACCCGACTTGAACCTTNTTGGGGCGTACTCAAGAGATTGATAGCCCCAATTAAAGGGTTAAACCTAGAGATAGTAATACCCGACATGAACCTTTATTGCTTGTGCAAATTTGCATACCCAATTGATCTTGAGAAAGTCAATTCGGGCAAAATCATTTGAACTACCAAGAGGTATAGAGTGAGTAGAATCATGTAATGGTTATATCATACTCCCCAAATGTGATATCTAGCTTTAGACTCAATAATCCGTCAATTGACTACCTAGGCGAAAGTTACTACCCTAGTGCCTTTTAATCATTTGAACAACTCACAATAGTTTAACCTTAGCTTATTTTAGTTTTATTGGGCATTGTAGTTTCATAAAATTAGAATCATAATCAAAACCAAAAATGTGTAGAAGTGCAATTAAGAGCAAATACACAACTCCACTTTAGATAGACACCCGACTCCAATATCTAGCTCCCTGTGGAAATCGATCCCGACCTTAATCGGGTAAAAGTTGCTTCGACCTCTCTCACTACTCCATAATAGTGCAGTGTTGGCCTCGATCACTTTTTGGCGCTGTTACCGGGGAGCTAACAGTTTTGGCTATCTATCTAAATAGTTTTGTGTATTGTTCTTCTTTCCTTCTTTGTTACTAACTTGTTTGTGTTGCAACTTCAGGTACAAAATGGCAGCGAATGCTAATGACTCTCTTGGAAATGTGATTGCGGGGGAGGAGGTAGATGATGTTGAAAATGATGAGGTGCCTCTTGTACCTCAAGTACAACGTAGAGGCCTCCAGGCCAATGCTAATGCCAATGAAAATATTCCAAACCCTCCTATGCCACCTCCAAGAGTGGCTCCGAGAGTGCTTCCAAA